TGGGAGGAGGGTGGCGGGGGGTGGAGCCGCCGCTGTGGTGTGTGTGCAGTGGGCTTGCAAAGGGCTTCGTCGCCGAAGCGACGCCTGTTGCAGCAACACCCGCCTGTTCCGAAGGGCCGGGGCGCTGCTCGACGGCTCTCGGACGTGAGAGAGATTTTAGCACTCCCACAACTAGTTTTTTCAAATGGGGAAGTTAATGTGTAAGTGAATCTCTGGGTTTGACGCCTTCCCGTGGGGCTGTATCGTTTGCGGAGGAGGAGGGAGCGAAGGAAGCGCAGGCGGTGCGGTTCTGGGGCTGCGGCTCTCCCCCTGGCCTGTGCCTCCCTCCCCTGCGTCCCCCGGCTGGCAGCGGGCAGAGCGAGAGGTGCCGCAGAGACCGTCCCGCGTGCTGGGCACGGCCCGTGGGAGTGGGGCTGGATGGAGGAGCCCGTCCTGTCCGTCTGCGGCACCAGCGATCGCTCAGCCCCTGGCTCAGGGCGTCCCGTTGCCCTTTTCCCTGAAAATTCACCGTTTTTGCTTTCTCCGCTGCTGTTGTCTCTGTGGTGTGGGTCCTTTGAGAGGGCAGCGGTGCTGCTCGGTGGGAGGAGGGCCCCCCAGCAGTGCCGCTGTGCAGCAGCGGAGCTTTGCGGGCAGAGTTTGCCCTCAGGGGAGGTCTGGAACCTGGCATTTTGTGTTTTTTGAAGCGGAGTGAGACCCGTGTGCTGTGCGGGCGTTGGATCAGCTTCAGCCACGTGTGAAAACCGGGTGGGAGCCCGTCTGTGTCGAGAGCCCGGAAGGGGATTTTGGACTTGAAAGAGGGCGCAGCGTCCCCAGGAAGAATTACTTGTCCTCGCAGCACGCCGCCCTTCTTCCCCTCGCGGGCTGAGCCAGTCGCAGTCCCTTCGTGCCTCAGCTTCCCCAACCTCTGAGCTATCGCCTAATAAGCTGTGTAGAGTCGCTCTGCTTGCAGCAGGTCTGGAGGGGTTCTCCGAGGGGCGGGGGCTCTCCCTGTGGCCTGGTGAGGGGCACCGACAGCGCGTCCTCCTCCGGCGCTGCTGTGATGGCCTCTGCCCCGTCGCAGCTCCTGTGGCCTTCCCGAAGGCACAGCGAGATGTCGAAGGCCGTCAGTGCTGAGCAAAACAAAAAGTAAGGCAGCGTAATAGAGACCAGATGTCTTGGTGAGGCTTCATCCCGTCCCCTGGTTGTTTGCCAGGGCTGATATTTCTGATTCCAGGCAGGCAGGAGCGAGGCTTTTCTTTTTTTTCCTGTAAAGCCAGAGCTCTGTTCCCGTGGATCTCCCTCTGCTTTTGTCCCTGAAGGAGCTGAGCTCTCGAGTCGCTGCGCCGACACGCTGCTGCTTCGTCGGTCGTTTCTGTGCTAGCAGGGGCTTCCCTTGATTTCGTGTTTAGTCACCGAGTTCAGGGCCGTTCTGCCAGGAAGAAACTTGGCCCGTTACAGCTGTGGGTGGAGGATGAGCCACATGAATTCAGCTCAGCCTGTTTTCCAGGCCGGATTGCTTCATGGTGTGCAGCTGATGGGGTTTGTTGAGACCAGCGATTTGGAGCAGGGCAGTTACGCTGAGCCTCGAGAGGTAAATGGAACGTTGGTGCGTTGAACAAATGGTGCTGTGAATCACGGAAAAACGCGGAGAGGTGCAGGAGGCGGGCAGTGAATTCCCTCGCTGGGATTTTTAGGGAGCGCTAGGAGCGGAGACGTGTCCTTGGCGGGCTCCGAACAGCCCCGTTGCTGGGGTGTCACCGAAGAAGGCGGCTGTGTAAGTGTCGGGGGGAGGGGGTGAAGAGGAAAATAATAATAATGAAAAAAACAAAAAGCGCAATGCACTGATTTAAAAACCCCAGCAACGCAGGGATTTCAAAGCCGTGCCTGCGGTGCGGAGGTAACCCTGCAGGCCCGTGGGTGGATTTATCTTGCGCAGTTCCTTAATCCAAGTTTAACCCACTCAGCAGTCGCGGGCTCTGGCCGGCGTCTCCTCGCCGGTGCAGAGCCGGCGCATGGCCCCCTCCGGCCCGGGGACGGTGGCAGAAGGGTCGGGGAGCTGGGGCTGGCAGCGGGAGCGGCTCCGCTCGCGGTGACTGCGCCGTGCAACGCGGAGTCGTCGGGATTCCTTGCGTGAGTAGGTCAGGTCGGATCCAGGCTCTCCTGCGGACGTGGAGGAGGTTTAACGGCCCGAACTGCAGCGCGCGCCGTCGCGCTGCACCAGGCTTCTCCTGCGTGCCCTGTGGTTATGGGGAGGGAGGTTTAACGGGACCCCACGCACTTTCTCCCTCTCCAGCCTGGCAAGGAGGATGTCAGAAGTATTTCCCTGCGTCGGATGAATCAGTCGGGGCCGGGAAAGCCGTCTGCGGGCGACCGAGCCGCCTGGGATCGCAGATACTTCAGCACCTGGCGCGTGGAGCCGTGTATGGGACTCAGGCAGATGCCACCGCTCGGTTGTTTTATTTTTCATCAGTTTGTCGTCTCAGTTGTCTTGATGTGAGCGTTCGAAGGACCCCAGAAGTGCTGGCACGAGCAAAGCTCTGGGCGACTCTGCCTTGGAGCCGGCTCCGCTCCGTGCCTTTGCGTTACGCCAAAGGATCTCCTTTTTGCCAGCATGGTGTTAATTTAAAAATCAGATCGTGTGGGCTTTTGTGGGGCAAGGCTGGGCTCACTAAGAAGGAAAAACAACTTCCTTCAGCTCGCAGGGTCTTTAGGATCTAATGACCACAAATATTTGAAGCATGCGGGATTTGTACCGAAGGGAATGGCAGGCACAGGCGGGAACGATGTGGGCTGCTGCCGCGG